GGCGGAGAGAACAGCCCCAAGTCCTGCTTTGCCACTGGCTTTCGGGGGGAGCCCATAAAATGAGAGGTCGGGCTGAACTGGGTGGCAAACGCCCCCACACCTGCAGGGCAGGACAGGTGAATGTGTGAAGCAAACCAGGCCCTGTACGTCAACCTAGATGCAACAGGATTTTTGCCGAGACGCTTTCGGGGTCTACTTGGGAGGCAGAGGTCAGTGATGGGACCCTATACAAAAGCAGAGGCTGTGTGCTCCATCAAAGCGATTTCAAACTAAAACAAGAAATGACAAATTGGAACTCGTCAAACAAAACATGGGGTGGGCTAAGTTCAACCCAGTTTTCTGCCACCTGGTGACTTTGGGTCTACATTGTTCTACCTTGCTGGTCAGGTGAGTAGCAAAGGACTCCATGCATCATTAACTATCAGATTATGTATCAGAAAGAATCTGGGATTTGGAGGCAGACAGATCTGGATTCGAATTTTGTTCTTTTACTGAGTGACTCCTGCAAGTATTTGGTCTCTCTGTGCCTTAGTTTCCTCATCTGTAATATGGGGTTGATAACAGAAGTGCCCTCCTCCCATTACGGTTGTGGAGATTAAATGAGATGCTGTATCTAAAGTGCCTGATATGTAGTAAGCCCTCATATATGGCAGCTATGGTGATAATTCATTGGAGCCAGTATCCGCAGGGCTGAGCGAAGTCTCACCAAACTTCCAATCTAAGAGTTCATTATCATGCTCTTAAATTCATACATTTTTATTCTTTTCCATAAAACTGTTATATGAAGTGGAAAACTATGTGCTATTTAACTTGTGCCCCATAATTTCTTTTTCAAATAAATGAATTCCCAGAGCAAAGGAGGAAATGCCCTTGTCAGATGATGTGACGCTGGCTTGATGGAAATTTATGATGGTTGATCAATAAACAGAAACACCAAGACTGAGCTGCTCCAAGAAAGCCCTCAGATTTCTCTATCCCGTGCTCTTGGCACGTGTTAATCAAAAGAGCCCAGAAACAGAAAAAGGGAAGAGAAATGAACCCTTGGACTCTGTCTGGTCCTAATGCTATTACACCTGGCTGTATGACCTTGGATAAATTATATAATCTTTGGGCCTCAGTTGCCTCATCTGCAAAATGGGAATACTAGTGTGGGGGGAGCGCTGAGAGGAGAAAAGGTAATATATGTAAAGTGCTCACTACCGAGCACATCCCCGATAAATGACAGCTCTTGTGGTTTCTCGTAGATCCTATTCAAGAGGCTTACTGCTTGCTGCTCCCATCAGTGGAATGAACTGGCCGACCTTTTAGGTGTAACATTTCGGCCCCCAAATGGATCAACTCTCATAAAAACATGGTCTGATACTGTTCCATTGAGTTCCAACCACTTCCATTACTGTCAAAGCACTCAACCCACTCAATACACACATTTGCAAGTTAATTCTATTAAGGAAGTATATGAAATGATCTGCATTGTCCATATTATCACCAAAGGTCCTTCGACCCCAGCTCAGGAAGGAGTCTTGGCGGATAACCCATCTTCTCCAATCCGATCCGATCTTATCTGGCTTTCGCAGCTTGGAAACGGTGCAGTGGCTGCCACCACTTGACTTCAGATGAGACTCTCTGGGAAGAGATTTGCCGAAAACACCCGATGACAGGCTGAATGACATGCTTGTAAAGAGAGGATGCATGGTGGAGACTGGACACCCTCGGCTAGTGACCACATTTGGCTCTTGCGGCTGTAGCTCTTACTTCCGAGGGACTGGCTAAGTGTTCCCTTGAGTGGTCTTCACAAGGTGAAGGCGTCTCTGGTCTTCCTGGCAGTCCTTGGATTCTCCCAAGTGCCATGTGAGCTTTTCACCACCCTTGGGAGATGGGTGGATCGCTCCCTTTTACAGGTAAGGAAAAACAGAGGTCCACGGAGGTTTAGTATCCTGTCCAAGGTCACCCAGCTAGTAAGAGGCATGCCCATGGCAAACAATCATGGGATCTATGCATTTGCAGATTTCAGTTCATTCTACCCTTGGGAATCTCAGAATGTTCTGTTCACACTCTGAAGCCAGTAGGAATCCATGGGGGAAGGAACACTGACTCTACGCCCTGACCCTCTCCAAGCCAATAATTAGTACTGGCCGAATCTGGATCATGGAAAGTGTGTTGGACACTCTCTGCCTTCTGTGGCTGCCAGGCTGTCACAGGGGGCTGCAGGGTGGCCATAGCAGGAATTAATACGGGCCATGGTTGAGAGGCCAGTCCGTGGCATTAGGCAGCCTGTGGTCAGGTTCCAGCTCTGCCTCTTATTAGCCATGTGACCTTGGGCAAGTAGCTTAACTTCCCTAGGCTTCAACATGACAGAAAGAATAATAACTCATAACTTTTATTGCGTGCTTACCACGTGCCAGGCACTGCTCTCTCTGCTTGCATCCTTGTAACAGCTCAACAAGCCTGTGAAGTAGAATGTGCCACTGCCCCCATTTTACAGATGAGGAAATATTAGTGATGACATTTCAGAACCCCTGAGGGGGCTAGAAGCTACATCCATGCAAAGGTTCCACACGGTCTCTCTCTCAGTGGCCTTCAGCTAGGCCAGCGATCAGCAGACTTTTTCTGCAAAGGGCCAGACGGTGAATGTTATAGGCTTTCAGGGCCACACGCCTCTGTCCCACCTCTTTAACTCTGCCCTTGTAGCACAAAAGCATCATAGACAGTACGTACATGGTGGGTGTGGCTGTGTTCCGATAAAACCTTACAAAAACGGGCAGTGGGCCGACCCCTGATCTAGGTGAATGGCTTCTCCTCTTACCTGTTTAGGACCAATCCTGCTAAATCTGTCCCCTCTTTCCCTGACGTTTTATTCTTCTAAGAACCTGAGTCTGACTCGCCCCGGGGGGGTGGGGGGGTGGTTTGACTGGCTGACCTAAGGATATAAAAAGAAGATGAGGACACTGGAGAGCAGGGGCAAGGGGAGTGGAGGCCAGAGAAGCAGCTTACTGGTCTCTATTAACCAGTGAAGTGGCAGGGTCCCATCAAGGATGGTATTTGGGTCAGGGTGGCAGGAAAGAGGGTCACAGCGCTCAGGGGCAAGGACGCAGACCTGGAGTAAAGGAAACTTGTCCCGACAGTAGGAAGCTTTAGATGGGAGCCCAGTCAAGAAGGCTGAATTGAGGGCTCATCTCCAGCCCTTGGCGGGATGGGGGGAGGTGGGGGGAGTGGGGAGATGTAAATACAAAGGGAAACTGAGTCCACTGAAAGAACTGGGGTTGGAGAAGAGCCTGTGGAGGACCCTGGACCTTGTCTGCTGGTAGGTTGGGACGGCTCAGATCCCAGCTGCCTGAGGTAGGGTGGGCTCAGGGCTAGCAAAGGGCTGGGCTACAGTGGAGCTGAGATGGGGAAGTCAGTTAAATGTTTCACAGGGAAAGCAGCGAAGGCCTCCCCTCTCCGGCCTGTTTCCGTTACCCGCTCCAGGAATCGCTGCTCAAACAGAAAATGTCACAATTCAGCCCTTGCTGAGCCCACTGGGTGGCTCATGAAAGACCTGTTGCTTAATCAGATCCATTCAGTTCAACAGACATCAATTAAACCCGTACTACGTGCCAGACCCTGGGGAACAGAGACAGGACATAACCTCAAAGTTGGCACAGCATACGAGTGAGGGAAGTACACGCAGAACTTTCTATACAAGACAGAAGGGTCACGGAGGCATTGCCAAGCCCAACAGGGAGCATTCAAGCTGGGGATGGCCTTTCCGAAGAGCTCATTTGTGAAATATGAAGAATGATCATTCTTCTTATCTTCATATCTTCTTAATCTAGGAACCGACCGGCTCCCTGCAAGTTTTCATAGGGATGAAGCTCTCCCAAGCCTGTCTTTTTTTTTTTTTTTTCTTTTCTTAAATAGTTCATTGTCAAGTTGGTTTCCATATAACACCCAGTTGCTCATCCCAAAAAGCCTGTCTTTCCAGAACTCAGGCGAAACACTTAAACCTTTGAGGACTTGTTTTCCCCTGAGAAGCATGAAGATACCACACTTCCCAGCAGAAAAGAAAGGCCTCCTAATAGCCAACATAAAAAAAAAAAAAAAAAAGCCTCATATCCTCAGGTCCTTCCTGGAAAACAGACTTCAAATAAATTGTGTATTTCTCTTACCAAAATGACCTGAAGGAAAGCCTTTCCTCTCAATAATTGTACTTTGGTTTTAAGGGAAGTTAGCGGAGTTTTCCAAGTTTACAAGAAACGTATAAACTGATTTTAAAAAACCCCAGGCTCACAGAGATAATAAAAAATGCATTTAATAGCATGTCAATATACAGCTTAAATGTATAGTAAGTCTTCTTGTCGTCAGGGCATTACAGGGATAGAGAAGAGAAAGATCATTTGTGAATGCACAGTCAAATGCTAAGTAAGAGTGCTGATAAATCCTGGTGCTCTTACACTATTAAAATTCTGTTTTATGAAACGTAACTCCAGGTGCGGTGATCTGTGCCAGCGTGGGGAATCTCCTGGTCCAGTGTGGATCTACAGTGTTAAATTGAATTGTATTCCAAGTGTTAACAAAAGAATAAAATTTATTATTCACAAAACTTAAGTGCTTATCATAAAGCTTACAAGAAAGTACAGCCTAGAACGAATGAGTTGAAAAATTGGTTTTAAAAATAATAAAACTTACTGGACAGTTTTGGAAAATGAGATTAGAAAACAAAGAAAACAATTGGCACAGGTTAACCACCTAATTTCTAAGTGCACTTTGTAATGGTCCTTGCAAGCTGCCACTTTGCCCAGGATAATGACAAAAAGCTTCAGTCAAGTGTCACTGGCTTGTGGTGACGGGTTTTTTTTATTGCATTGCCAAGAGTGGATTTTAAGAAAAAACACTACAAAGGTTTCAAAAACCCTATTTATTCTCTATCATCAAAAATAGCAACAGGGGTATTTATACAACTTTTCTGTGAGTACCCACCAGTCTATTTTTTTTTTCTTAAAAAAAATAGAAGTTAGTTAAAGAAAAATGATTTGTTTTTTTTTTTTTTTTAAAAAATAATGTAAGGAAACACTTAATCAGATAGCCCAAGGAGTCATCAGAAATATGTGTAGCAAGAAAGCTTCATTGTTGGCCTTCTCTGGCCTTTGCACGTCTTTTACTAGACTAGAAAGAGAATGGACAGTACCAGTGTGTTCCCCAGCCTGCTTGGATCAAATTGTTTTGTTTGGAAACCCATTATTGCTAAACCAGAGTGTTGACGCTGAGAGCCGAGGAGTCCGCTCATAGAGGATAAAACTGAGAGGCTGCCTCCGAGGACTGGATCTCCACTTGGGCCATCTTGAACTGGGTGCACTGCAGCCACTTGCGAAGGGCCGCCAGGCCGGCGCTGCTCTGGGCCGAGCCCGGCAGCGCCCGGAGGCTGTGGTGGTTCACGTTGTTCTGAATGGCCTGGAGGCGAAGCTGGAGTCCGGCGGATAAGTGCTGTTAAGAAAGGGCAAGACATCTGCGTTTAGTTTCTTTCCTTCCAAGGTGCACGGGCGTCCCAGGGGGCGCCGGCCCGGGCATCTTCTGCAGGCGGAACTCCTGCGTGGCTCAAGGGCTGTGCGGCCTGGACGGCAAGGCCGGCTCTCGGATTTGGCGGCGTGCGGGGCAGGGGACGGGGACGGACAGCGTGAGTCTAGCGTCACTCTGGCCCAGATCCATCCCAGCAATGCCGGTCCCAGCTTGACTCATCCACTGCAACAGGAACTTGGAGCGGACACGTGTACTTGGCCCCCGGGAGCTGTGCACCCCAAGGGCCTGAGGCAGCAGGGAAGAAGGGCCTGGGCTCTGCGGCCGGCTCCCTGGGCTCAAACCCTAGCTGCTTTGTGGACAGCCCTGGGAACAAGGTTTTCCGGTCTGTGTTTGGATTTTTCTCATGGACAAACTGGGGACAGTAACACCTTGTGGGATTGGTTTTTTAAGGATAAATGAACTAATGGAGGGTTTAGAGCGCAAGTTGGCACGTAATATGTGCTCGTTACATTTTAATCATGATTACAGTCTCTCTGTCGTGTCGGTGCACACGCAGAGGCCCGGTCCCAAGCTCTCTGGGCCTCAGGTTTCCACAAAGCAGGGGGAGGGGCAACTGAACGCCTCAAGGAGGAAGTACAAGTGGCTTTTCACAGTAAAAGGTAGCGGGAGACGAGGTTTTCAGGGGTGCCGGGGGCCCCTGTGGCTACAAACTGCACCAACACCACAGATGAGACCACACGCCTGCAGTCACTGCAAATGGCTGCATTTCTCTCTTGGTGTCTGGGTACCTTGAGGTCACCCCCCCCCCTTTTCCCACCAACATCCCTCCCCAACGCGGAGAAGAAATTCAGCCAGAAGGGTTCCATCTTCTGCCCCCTGCTTGCCGGGTGAGCCTCACGACGGCTGTAGGCGGAGCCCAGGTTTGGAGCAGGTGGCTCAGCTCCGCCATCATTATGTCAAGTAACCTTTCCTGGTCATGGGGTACGTGTGGCCCAGATAGGGCCTGGCAGCGGAAAAGTCACTCGGGCAGGGTCTGTCCCTTCCTGGCTGGGGCGCCCAGATAAGGGGTGGGGCCAGATCCTTTCCCATCTTGCTCAAGTCAGTCATTCGATGTTATCCTTTCTTAACAGAATTCTTCCTGTCACAAAAAGTCCATTTTAGGGGCACCGGGGTGGCTCAGTTGGTTGAGCATCTGACTGGCTCAAGTCACGATCTCACAGTTCACGAGTTCGAGCCCCACATGGGGCTCTCTGCTGTGAGCGCAGAGCCCACTTTGGATCCTCTGTTCCCGTCTCTCAGTCCCTCCCCCACTTACACTCTCTCAAAAATAAATACGCATTTTTTTTAAAAATCCCATTTTATTTTTTTTTAAAGTCATTTATTTTATTTATAAGTAATCTCTACACCCCCCATGGGGCTTGAACTCACGACCCCGAGATCAAGAGTCATACACTCTATTTTCTGAGCCAGCCAGGCTCCCCACAAAAAGTCCATTTTAGTGGCCAGGAAATAGCAATGAACATGCGTGGGCGCAGATCCTATCGGCACCGAGTGGCCGAGAGCATGGTGACTTCACCTTTCTCCGCAGTAAGTGGAGCATCAGTGAGCCCTATGAGTGTTATGACCTTCTCTGGGGAGAAGTTACCTTCCAGTCCACCCAGGGAGGACTTACCTTGATATTTGACTGAATCATTGGCAACCACATAGGTATCAGCTGTGTGAAGAAACACAGAAGCCTTGTTATTAGCGGTCTCCGTTCCCGCCCCCATAAGCTTCGCCTACTGCACAGAGAAGCAGGGCGCACAAAACCCCTTTAACATCACCAAAGAGGGGACCCTGCTGCGGAGTCATCCATTAACAGGAAAACATCTTTCTGAGGCCGGACCCTGCTGGGCCGGTGGCATTTGGAGGTTAGTAAGTGCCCCATGAGTGCCTGAAACACACACTTAAGAGCAAATGACTGATTGTCTCTTGAAAGCGACCACACATGGGAAATTAAATGTGTATTTAATGAAATCCTTACTTTCTTGAAAGAGAATTTCCTCCATGGGATCTCTGGGACTGAGTTTCCGAGTAGGATGGCGACTCTATTTGCCCAGAGTCGTTAAGAAAATATCACTGGGAAGTGGTAGAAATGCTTCAGTGATAGAAAATAATTGAGCCCCGAAGTAGCCTGGCTGTGATTTGGAAGGTGGGACACAGCAAGAGTGACTTGGCCCAGGGGTTTGGATGGCGTGGGTCATGTGCAGGCGAGCAGCGGGTCCCTGCCCCAGTGGATAGCAAGGCGCTCCAACTGCAGGCCTCCGGGGAGGCTTGCCATTCTGCTGCCCCTCCTGCCCATCCTGAGCCCCTCTGCTGTGCCCTTCCTAGGTGGTCTCCTGGTGTCTGGCCCCAGGGCCTCCAGAAGCAGCTCTCCTCTCCCTGCTTTGGCCTCTCAGCCACATTTCAGCACTCCAGAATATAAGGCTGCCTCATAAATCCAGCAGTCAGGGACAGAAGACAGTGTTTCCCAAAGTGTGTCCCACTGGACTCTAGTTTGGTGGGTTTCAGTGGGGGAGGGGGCACTGGTCCAGTAAGTTTGGAGATGCTAGGTTCCTTATTTCAGCACTGCTCAGATCTTTAATGTACTAAATATGTATCATATCACTGCACTCTGTTCCTTCCAACCCTCTCTACTCCTAATTCAATAGAGAAGTACAGTTGTCATGGGCTGAACTGTGCCCCCTCACGGTCCCTACCCACACTGCTTCAGGATAGGACTTTATTTGGAAGAGGCGTCAATGCAGATGTAATCAAGTTAAGGTGAGGCCATTCTACGGTAGGGTGGGCCCCTGCCAATATGACTGATGCTCTTATCAAAAGGGGAAGATTTGGACACAAGCCAAAGAAAGGCAAAGACTGCCAATCAGCCGCCAGAAGCTAGGGGGTCGGGCTGGACCGGATTCTCCCTCATAGACCTCAGAAGGAACAACCCTGCTACCCCCTGACCTCAGACTTCTGGCTTCCTGACTGTGGGATAAGCAGTTTCTGTGTTTTAGCCGCCTACTCTGTGGTGCTCTCACAGCAGCCCTAGCCAACGAATTCCAGGGCGCACTCCCGGGAGCGCAGCCTGAGGGTGGGAGTGTGCCGTGGGTGAGCAGGTGGTAGGAATTCAGTTGATGCTGAAGTGTGAGGTTCTCAGGAGGGGGTCACGAGAAACACGTTTAGGAAAGCAGAGGTGAGGCCCTTCATCATTCACCCATGATGCCCTGGGAGACCACATTAAGGGATTTGGATTTGTTTCCAAATCCAATATAACTCGTAAAGAGGGGAGCCCTGTTCCCTGTAAGTGGAGCTGTATTCCAGAAAAATCACCGTGGCAGTAATCTGCCAACTAGGATGAGGAAGAGGGTGGGGAAGGGAAGCCAGGGCCTGGGTGGAGGCTGCCTCAATGGTCCAGGTAAGACCAGGGGTGGCTTCCAGGAGGGAGAAGGGTGGTTGCCTGCACACGCAACCCAAGAGGCTCTAAGGACCGGTCTGCTCTTTGGAGCGAGGAAAAGGTCAGAGCACAAGGCGGGGTTTCTAGCCTGGGCAAACAGAAGGAGAGCCATGCCATGAACAAAATAAAAGAACTAGCTGGAGGCCTGCTGGGATGGGAGAGAATGACCTCTCTGTTCACCACTCATGGGCATGGGCTGCAGGGCTCATGTAATTCTCACACACACACACACGGTGAACTGACAAATTACATTCCTCTCTATGCTTTTGTTCCAGGCTCAATCTGGTTGCTCTTCTGCTTCGAGCATTTTGTTGAGATCCATAATTTGCTAATTTGGCTTCCACTGATGCTCACTCCTAAGCACATGGCTCATGTTGCAGCCATGTACTACTGTCTCTAGCATAAATATTGTGCTTAGGAATGCAGTATGGTACGTACCAGATAATGTAATTGGACTAAAACTCAAAATATCAGAAAATGACATTTTCTCTCTGCCTCCTCCAACCACCAACCCGTATAACAAACTGTGGGATTACAAACGTCAGTGACAGATAAGGCTATGCTCTCTGGCCATAAGCAGGATTGGCTCATGTAAACATTCTGATTGGGGAAAAAGAAAACTAGTCTAACCACTTCCTCTCTAATGCCTGTACAGCAAAAACCAAGCTCTCAGGGTCCTAATGTCTACAAACTTGGCACTGACTTTTGATCTACTTAATATGGAGCAGGCCTACATGCCTCTTGATATTTAGGAAGCACCCACACTAACCTCCTGTTAAGATCCTGAGGGACTAAGGAGGGTAGGAGCCAGGAAGCCCTGAGTACTCTGACCCTGGGTGGATACCTCTCCCAGTGCTGTTCTTGGGGCTAACGGCCTATATGAGGCAATCAAGGGGAAGAGTGAGGTTGGTTTTAGCTATTAGCCCATTTACGAAACACGTGACCGTATCATTCTAAAATATATCCGCAAAGGACCTTCAGGTTTGTGACTTGAGAATCACATGACTGAAGTCTTCATGTTAAATCTCATTATTATTGATATGATAGCATTATATAAGCCAGCAGCCATCCTATTTCAGGAATGCTAATTTGACTTACTGAATAACACTCATTTCGGTTCTCTTTTCCTAGTGGCTCCCACAAAGCTGTCAGTAGGAATTAGATGTAATTTATTCGGGGTTGTGTAATGTCATAATAAAGTTGGTTGGATTTTTTTTTCCTCTGCAGCAACGATATTCAGAAAATGGAAGGACAATAAAAAAAATTAGGTTGTTTTCCACCAAAATAAAAGTGATACATTTCCTCTTATCTCAGTTTATGCTACAGGATAAATTGAAGACTTTCTGCTCAGTTAGGCTGTACTCATTTCACTCCATGTTTGTTTCAGCCCTCAAAACTCAAATTAGTTGTAAAACTTTCTATTTCAGCAAAGATGGAGTAACACAGACCAGATTTTACCCTCTTGCCTAGAACGACTAAAATTCCAGATGGAGTCTATGAAACAATGATTTTCAGACACTGGGCATCAACAGTGTAGCACAGTGATCCCTGAGGGGGAGGAAACAAGGTAAGCACTATAGTTAGCCTCACTACCTGCCTAGAAAGCCTGCAGTCAGTAGCCAGGGAGGAGGGACCTGGGAAGAGCCTAACTGTCTTCCTGAGTTGAGGAGATGGAGCTGGGAGTCCAGGGAGGCCAAGGTGTGGAGTCTGTAAGGCAGAGTACTGGAGAGGAGAGAGCTGCACAGAAAGAGAGAGCAAGAGAGAAAGCTGAAGATGCATAAAGGGTCCCCCTTGAGTCTTCAGCTAAATACTGACCAGTGCACACGTAAGAAAAACTGCCCAAGGCTGAAGAAAACACAACCCCGAAGGATTAGAGAGGTGATCACACGGCACCAGCGATAGTTTGTGTTCCCACAAGCTGGTGACAGTGGACAATTCTTATAATTAATACACATCGGGTAGAATACTTAGAAGGCTAGTACCTTAATAATGAAGAAGTTTTAGTTCTAGACCAAATGCAGTTCTGATCACCTGGCATGGCTTACAAGCAAGTCTCAAAAGGAAAAACCTAATTCTAAATAATTTAACGATAACACAGAATATAGCTCAAAAAGATTTATAGGGATACAAAAATATCCAGCACCCAAGACAGTCAAATCAAAATGTCAAGAGTGTAATAAAAAATTACCAGGCATACAAAGAATCAGGAAAAGGTGAGCTACATTGAGAATAAAAATCAATCAACTGGAAAAGACCCCCAAATGATACAGGTAACAGAATTAATAGAGAAAGACATTAGAGCAGTTATTATACCTATATTCAATAGGGTCAAGAAAGAAGAAATATTGAGTGTGTTGAGTAGAAGCATAGAAGAAAATATCTGAAGAAACAATAGCTGATACTTTTCCAAATATAGAGAAAACTATAAACCCACAGATGCAAGAAGTTCAACAAACCCAAGCATAAGAAACACGAAGATAACTACACCAAGGTGTTTCATCATCAAATTGCTTAATGATAACGGTAAAGAGAAAATCTTAAAAGAGGCAAAAAAAGAAAAAAAACCCAAAACAAAAAAAAACATACATTATCTATGGAAGAAAAAAAGATTAGAATACAGATTCCTTGTTGGAAACAACGGAAGCAGGAAGATAGTAGAGGAGAAACATCTTTACAGCACTGAAAACAAACAACTGAACCTATAATTCAATATCCAGTGAAAATACCTTCCAAAAACGAAGGCAAAATAAAGACTTTCTCACACGTAAAAGCTGAAGGACTCAATCACCAGCAGACCTGCCTACGAAATAGTAAAGGAGGGGTGCCTGGGTGGCTCAGTCAGTTGAGCGACGGACTTCAGCTCAAATCATGATCTCACAGTTTGTGAGTTCAAGCCCCCTAATAGGCTTGCTGCTGTCAGCTCAGAGCCTGCTTCAGATCCTCTGTTCTCCTCCCTCTTTGCCCCTCCCCTGCTCGCACTCTCTCAAGAACAAATAACACCCCCCCTAAAAAAAAGGAAATAGTAAAGGAAGTCCTTTGACCAGTAGAAAGATGGAAGTTTAGATCTATAAGAGGAATGAAAAACACTGAAAATGGCAAATATAAATACAGCAATAATAGCAAATATAAATTAATTTTGAAAAAAATTTAAGTCTCTTTAAGAGATAATTGTTTAAAGCAAAAATAATAACAATGTATGGTTTGGTTTACTTTGTTTACAACATATGTAGAAGTAA